GAGAGAGAGAGCAAAGGAGAAGAAGCGACGACAGCACAGTATCCCTAAGCCGCGTTAGATCCGTGCAAAGAAAGAACCAGAGGAAAAAAACTCAAGCAAATCCAAAAATCAATCCGCATAGGGAAAAAGACGATCTGCGCGGCAGCTCTACCTACATTTTTACTGTTCTACGGCTCCTTCCAGTGCGATTTCACCATATTTGTGCTGGATCTAAGGGCGCGAAGCATTTAATGGTAAGTTCTGATCAATTCGCAGCGGTTCGTGGCAGCATACGGTGGTCCAGCAGCGACGCATGACAGTTTTCGGCTGCGACGTGTGTACGCTCCGGTGACATCGTGTGGAGGCATGCAACAGCGCGTCTTTTTGGTGGTTACACATGATTGTATTGGTATTCAGAAAATCTTATGTGAAGTACATCCAATAACGAAAATCAGGTAAGTACCTAAACGCTTACAAATGTAGTTTAATATTTCTAAAATATTAAAACTATGATATTTAATAATTGATAATTAAGTACATAATTTTGACGTGATTTTACCATTAATTGTTGTGTTCTTATTTATGTTTACTACTAAAATTACTGATGAATTATTCTGTTATATTTTGTAACTGAGTTCGTATATGTACTGGTTACTATGTAATTATCAATATACTAAAAATACATATAAGAATATGAAGTGATGAATATTTATAATATGTGCATTATAAGTATAATAAATATTAAATAATAAAGTTAAAGAATTTACTAGCGACTTAAAATAAATAAATAAATATTAAAAGATATGTAAAACCCATTTAACCAGTATCACCGAGGGTGAGTGCGTGTGTGGCCTTTTGGCGTGTGATTATGGTGAACCCTACCTGTGGATAAACTGATAGGAATGAATAAGGATTTATGTGTGATATTTATAATACTGAAATATTAAATTAATATTTATTGAACTGTTTACTGCTTAAATTATAATATTGAATACTAAATTATGATATTTATTGAACTGTTTATGTTATGAGTTATAATACTGAAATAAGTAATTTTGAATGTTTTTGAATAAACTGATTTAGAAGATTTGGTAATTGAATTAGGGCATAAATACCACGTGTTTTCCGAATTAAAGAGAAAAGTGTTTTGAACTATCTTCGTTAGTAGTTGTATGTTTTTTACTAACTTTAACATATTATCTTATTATTTGTTGGTAGTTACATGTTTACTGAACATATTAAGTTTACTCTATTTATTGTTAATTTCTTCATATCAAGATATTCAAAATCTTGTTTTTGAACAGTGATAGACTTGTTAGGAGATCGTTCAATCTTTATTTTAATTCGAACAATACTTAATATTAATTATTTCATTTTTAATAAGTGTTATTTTAGAGTTTAGTCATGTTTCATAGATATTTGATATTTTGAGTTAATTATGCAACATATGTATTTTTATTATTTTAAGATTTACTGTACGAAAGTATTCTTATTGATTATCTTATCATAACGTTATAGGCATTCAGTCAAAACTCTAGGTGAGAGTCTAGGCCGTTGCATCTAGATTACCTCTCTCTATGTATAAATGTATAAATTAACCGTACTATATAATTTGTTAATGATTAAAATATAAATTATAAAACTATTAGAAAAAGAAATATATTAAATTAAAAATACAATTTACCTTTAATATATAAACTATTAAATATTACATAAAAATAACGTACAATACTATAATCATCAAATCTATAAACTAAAACTGGTTTTCTACCTGTTT